GTGGGTGGGTGAGTGAGTGGGTGAGTGAGTGGTTGAGTGGGTGGTTGAGTGAGTTGGTGGTTGAGTGGGTGGTTGAGTGGGTGGTTGAGTGGTTAGGTGGTTGAGTGGTTGAGTGGTTGAGTGAGTATGTCAGTGGTTGAGTGGTTGAGTGGGTGGTTGAGTGGGTGGTTGAGTGAGTGGGTGGTTGAGTGGGTGGTTGAGTGAGTGAGTGAGTGGTTGAGTGGGTGAGTGAGTGGGTGAGTGGGTGAGTGGTTGAGTGGTTAGGTGGTTGAGTGGTTGAGTGGTTGAGTGAGTATGTCAGTGGTTGAGTGGTTGAGTGGGTGAGTGAGTGGGTGGGTGAGTGAGTGGGTGAGTGAGTGGTTGAGTGGGTGGTTGAGTGAGTTGGTGGTTGAGTGGGTGGTTGAGTGGGTGGTTGAGTGGTTAGGTGGTTGAGTGGTTGAGTGGTTGAGTGAGTATGTCAGTGGTTGAGTGGTTGAGTGGGTGGTTGAGTGGGTGGTTGAGTGAGTGGGTGGTTGAGTGTGTGAGTGGATGAGTGAGTGAGTGGGTGAGTGGTTGAGTGGGTGAGTGGGTGAGTGAGTGGTTGAGTCAGTGGGTGGGTGAGTGGGTGAGTATGTAAGTGGGTGAGTATGTGAGTGGTTGAGTGGGTGGGTGAGTGAGTGAGTGGGTGATTAGGTGAGTGGGTGAGTGAGTGGGTGATTAGGTGAGTGGGTGAGTGAGTGGGTGATTAGGTGAGTGGGTGAGTGGGTGAGTGGTTGAGTGGGTGAGTTGGTGGGTGAGTGGGTGAGTGAGTGGGTGATTAGGTGAGTGGGTGAGTGAGTGGGTGATTAGGTGAGTGGGTGAGTGAGTGGGTGGGTGAGTGAGTGGTTGGGTGGGTGGCTGAGTGAGTGGGTGAGTGGTTGAGTGGGTGAGTGGTTGAGTGGGTGGTTGAGTGGTTGAGTGGGTGGTTGAGTGGTTGAGTGAGTGGGTGGGTGGTTGAGTGGGTGAGTGGGTGAGTGGTTGAGTGGTTGAGTGAGTGGTTGAGTGAGTGGGTGAGTGAGTGGTTGAGTGGGTGGTTGAGTGAGTGAGTGGTTGAGTGGTTGAGTGGTTGAGTGGGTGGTTGAGTGAGTGAGTGGGTGGTTGAGTGGGTGGTTGAATGGGTGAGTGGGTGGTTAGGTGAGTGGGTGAGTGAGTGAGTGGTTGAGTGAGTGAGTGGTTGAGTGGTTGGGTGGTTAGGTGAGTGGGTGAGTGGTTGAGTGGGTGAGTGGTTGAGTGGGTGAGTGGTTGAGTGGGTGGTTGAGTGGTTGAGTGGGTGGTTGAGTGGTTGAGTGAGTGGGTGGGTGGTTGAGTGGGTGAGTATGTGAGTGATTAGGTGAGTGGGTGGTTGAGTGAGTGGGTGGTTGAGTGGGTGGTTGAGTGGGTGAGTATGTGAGTGAGTGGGTGGTTGAGTGGGTGAGTGAGTGGGTGGGTGAGTGGTTGGTTAGGTGGTTGGTTAGGTGGTTGAGTGGTTGAGTGGTTGAGTGGTTGAGTGGTTGAGTGGTTGAGTGGTTGAGTGGTTGAGTGGTGAGTAGGTGGGTGAGTGGTTGAGTGGGTGGGTGAGTGAGTGAGTGGTTGAGTGGTGGTTGAGTGGGTGGTTGAGTGAGTGGGTGAGTGGGTGAGTGGTTGAGTGGGTGGGTGGTTGAGTGAGTGGGTGAGTGGTTGAGTGGTTGAGTGGTTGAGTGGTTGAGTGGTTGAGTGGGTGAGTGAGTGGGTGGGTGAGTGAGTGGGTGAGTGAGTGGTTGAGTGGGTGGTTGAGTGAGTTGGTGGTTGAGTGGGTGGTTGAGTTGGTGGTTGAGTGGGTGGGTGAGTGGTTGGGTGAGTGGGTGAGTGGGTGAGTGGTTGAGTGGGTGGGTGGTTGAGTGAGTGGGTGAGTGGTTGAGTGGTTGAGTGAGTATGTCAGTGGTTGAGTGGTTGAGTGGGTGAGTGAGTGGTTGAGTGAGTGGGTGAGTGGGTGAGTGGTTGAGTGAGTGAGTGGGTGAGTGGGTGAGTGGGTGAGTGGTTGAGTGGTTGAGTGGGTGGTTGAGTGGTTGAGTGAGTGGTTGAGTGGTTGAGTGGGTGAGTGAGTGTGTGGGTGAGTGGTTGAGTGAGTGGTTGAGTGAGTGGTTGAGTGGTTGAGTGGTTGAGTGAGTGGTTGAGTGGTTGAGTGGGTGAGTGAGTGGTTGAGTGGTTGAGTGGGTGAGTATGTGGGTGGTTGGGTGAGTGGCTGGGTGAGTGAGTGGGTGAGTGAGTGGTTGGGTGAGTGAGTGAGTATGTGAGTGGTTGAGTGGGTGAGTTGGTGAGTGAGTGAGTGGGTGGGTGGGTGGTTGAGTGGGTGAGTGAGTATGTGAGTGGTTGAGTGGGTGAGTTGGTGAGTGGGTGAGTGGTTGAGTGGTTGAGTGGTTGAGTGGTTGAGTGGTTGAGTGGGTGGGTGGTTGAGTGGTTGAGTGGGTGAGTGGTTGAGTGGTTGAGTGGTTGAGTGGGTGAGTGGTTGGGTGAGTGAGTGAGTTGTAGGTGGTTGAGTGAGTGAGTGGTTGAGTGGGTGAGTGGTTGGGTGAGTGGGTGAGTGAGTATGTGGTTGAGTGAGTGGTTGAGTGGTTGAGTGGTTGGGTGAGTGGGTGAGTGAGTATGTGGTTGAGTGAGTGGTTGAGTGGTTGAGTGGGTGAGTGGGTGAGTGGTTGAGTGGTTGAGTGGGTGAGTGGGTGAGTGGTTGGGTGAGTGAGTGAGTTGTAGGTGGTTGAGTGGTTGAGTGAGTGATACACAGATCACACGTGAAGGCACGATTATGGTGAGAAGTACTTGACGTTGACTATTTTCCCAACGCGTGCGGCGGCGAGGAGGGACTGCGCGGCGATGCGGTGGCTTGAGGGTGATCTCAGGTGGGAGCGGATCCTCAGGACGTCGAGGCGGACGACGGCGATGTGCAGCAGGTAGAGGAGCGACAGCGACCAGAGGGATAATAATAATGACATGAATGGATGTCTGATAGTGCACAGGAAATTGTCGCACTCATTGAAGAGGTCAGTGAAATACTGTGAGCATATTACCTTCTTCAAATGATGTGCAAATCTGAAACATGTTGTTCGAGTGCCAACAGCGTTTAACGTTGATGCGTCACCAAATGTGAAACCAAAGCTGTATAGTGTAGGAGACACTCCCTTACAATTGACCATGGAACTACATTTGCAATTTGGCATTTGGGTCTCTTTGTCGCTGAGGCCGTGCGCTCCTAGTTTACACGTGTCAGCATTCAGACATTTACGACAGCCCCAATCAAGGCATGAGATTGTATTGAATGCGTCGAGGAGGCATTGCAGATATTCGCAAAGTTTCCACGGCAAGTAGAGCGCCCATGAAAGGTATGCTCGACAGTGAGTGTTCGCCATATAGTGGTAGTAATCGGAATATAAGGTAGCTAAGTATGGTGCGCTATGAACTCTTTGTTTGCAGCACGTCTCAGATGTGGTAAGCGTATTCAGGTGCGGGTGATCGCAGTTGGATTTATCAGTAGAGTCTGAACCAAAAGCTTTAGTTAACGCATCGGTTATTTCCGATGTAGGTGTATATTGTGCAATGGACTGCTTAGTGATAGACTCTGCAAATGTATTCTGTAATAGAATCACGTCATCACTTCGTTTTGTTTTCCTAAAGTTAATACCCTTAACAAGTGACAACGCAAATCCAAAATGCTCTGGTAGCGTAGATGGCGGTTTTGGTGTAAGGCAGAAAATGGCTGTAACAAAGACGTCGTCGAAGAATTTGACGATCAACTCACACAGTTCTCTGCCGGTTTTGGTGGTCCCCGAGAAACCTCTGAAGCCAAGGGGAGTCAGACAGGGCATACCACACTTGCTTCTAGGACAAGCGGAACATACAGATTTGCAGCCAATGGAGGATAGTGCGTGAGGAAGTTGACCAACAAAAGAGTCGGTCAGGTAGGACTGCAGTGGAGATGTTGGTTGGCAATTTGGTTGACCATTTGGTTTGTTATTTGGTTGACTACTTGCTTTGTTATTTGGTTGGTCATTTGCTTGGCCGGTTGAATGATCGGTACATGGCCATCTATTTGACTTGATGTTTTTACCATAGAGGCAATCGCGCCAGCCATTGTGCTGAGTACTAAGTTGGCATTGACTATGTAAGAATCTAAGCACTGGGAATAATCGACGAAAGATATCAAGGAGCAAATCGAAGCATTGCGATGGATTTGCGGGGTATGAAAGATTGAGGGAATTGCTGGAGAACTGGCAGGCATAGTGGGTCTGGGCGTCTCCGTGGCCTAGGATACCCGTCAGCAGTGAGTAAGCGTGCGACACAACATGTTTCAGTGCATCATGTATATTGGTAAATGAAAACTGGTAGGGATACGCTTCAATGGGTTGGACGGTTTTCTTAGACGGATCCGACTTATCTGGCTGCTTAAACAGAGTCGTAACGTGATCCTTAAGTTTGTCATAAACACCGTTATACGTGAGACCGGTTAGCCATACTAACATTTCGAATACGCTACATGGATGTCTAGTGGACAAAAATGATGTTACGTGACCTACTTGATTATATGTTGTGAGATGATCGAAAAGGTTGTTAATCTCTCGAATGACATTGCGGCTACCAAATGCGTCTGCCGTCGTTGCAGTGAGACATCGATGGATGTTCTCACCGTTCCACTCATTCGCGCACTGCAACTCCGCGTCTTGCTTGGAGTCCTCGTCGTTGCTCGGCACTTTAAAACCGCATCTAGTAAGGAATAAGCCGAGCTTATTTTCCGTGCGATTCTGTACTGCGCATATTTTCCTGTCTTTCCAACCACCGTATCTCAATTCTGTATTACAATTCTCTCTTAAAATATTCAAATCGGTGTGGAGAGTCTTAAGAATTGTCAAGCATACCATAGACAATTTCTCACCGTTATCGGATAACACAGTTATATTATGAGATGTTTTTTCACCATTTTCGTTGGTATTCGTAATTGTTTTTTTTGTCAACAATTTCTCAAAATCTATAGATGGATGCCCCTCATACCTGTTCACGTACCCCCTCTCCAGCTGCTCGACGAAGCGCACCAGGCTCTTGGGGAAAGCGTCGAGCACGGGGTACGCGGGGTTGGCGAAGTTTGTGGTGTGGAGCGCTTGGACGGACGTCTTGAGTTCCGCGAGCATTCCGGGTACCTTGTGGTCGAAGTGTTTTTTGGCGGACAGGTGGGAGAGGAGGGTGGTCAGAGCGGAGTGGATGGTGGAGAGTTGGGAGGGTATTGGGAGTTGGGGAGGTGTTTGGGGAGGTCGGCGGAGACGTAAGTGTGGATGTGTTTCAGGTAGGCGAGGGATTTGGCGGAGAGGGATTGGAAATTGGCGGGGTGTGTTGCACCGGGAGTTATCTCCTTGAGTGGGTCAATATGGTGCTTCATAGTTTTCAATAAGCCTTTCACACCGCCATGTGAATCCTCGTGTATGGTACGCTTAATGCTGGTAATTGCAAAATGCACTCTAGTTTCCATGTCCGTGAACATTTTATTGATTCTAAAATGGTAGTCAGTTTTGCTTCTTTTTTGTATGTCGCCAGTCACTTTCGCAACTTCGTCAGAAACACACTGCTGTATCTCTTTAATGGCTCTAGCAGCTTCCGTTTTTATTATTTTGTCATAGAACTCACCGGCATTCTGCACTATGGTTTGTAGAGTGTTATCCCCGCTGCCAGTCAGGATCTTATTAAGACGCGTCTGTATTCCCGTCAGGGAATGTTTTTCCTCCATAGAGTTTGTCTTTAATTATATTACTCAGACGTTGCAACTTTTGCTTCACACCGCTATATCCGGAATCCTTCCCGGCAAGTTTCTCGATTCTTTTGCACAATTGTTCAAGGCTTTGGGTGACTATACTGTGTAACTCCTGGAGAGTTGAAGATTCGATCTTCATGCCACTACCCTTCTCGTCGGCCATAACAGTCTTGATTTTCTTCAGACCACTTCCGTTATTCTGTATTAAATCTAAAGGCTGAGTGACCTGAAGTTTCGCAGTGTCGTAAGTCGGCGTAAATCCATTGCCGTTTTAAAATCTCCACTGCCATTACCATATTCAGTCCCAATAAGTCCCTCAGCCTGCGCCTTAAGTCTTTCTTTAAATGCGCCAGTACTGGGAACAACAGCTCTAGTAACGGCGTTCTCAAGCTTTTCTCCAAGTGTTTTAACACTCTCTATAGCCTGTGCCAGGTTACTTATCTTGGACGCTTCCAAGAAATTCTTTATTTCCTCTGATAATCCTTTTGCAGCCGTCGACACCCCAAATATAATAATTTCAAGGGCCGTTTGAAGATAATCGTTTTTGGTAGACCGGAGGTTGCGACCATACCTGCGATCTGCTCGGCAATCTCTTCAAGCTTGGTCTTCCCACTAAGTTCACTTTTAATTTGCTTCCCAAAGCGTTTGGCAAAATCTTGCAAGCTACTACCAATCTGGCTAAACTCGGCAGTGGATGAAAGGCCAGCCTTTCCGGCACTCTCCTCAACTAGTTGCTTAATAATATCTGGGAGGTAGTGCAAAATGGCTGCTTTAATATCGTTCTCTTTTCCATTCAATAGACTGGAATTTCCTTTGTCAATGACATACTTCCCAACATACGTATCTACAGCCCCGCCTTTCTCATTCACCATGCTAGTTACCATTGTCTCAATCGCATCCTTGAGTTTATTTTCAAAACTCGACGCGTACCCTGCAGGGCATTTTGAATATCATACAGTGTTCCAGACTTATTCTGCTGATGCGCAATCGTATCAGTAAGATCTTTGAGGTTACTCGTAATGCTCAGTCCCAACCGACTAATATGCTCTCCAACAGTCTGTTTTATTTTATCCCTTAGTTGCTTCAAATCACTCATTACCGCCGTTTTAAGTGCTGCATCCACTACACCTAAAGCACTCTGCACCCTTTCAGCAATATACCCGTGAGCCTCCTGCATTTCAGTGTACAATTTAACAGCATCCTCCTTTAACTTACCGGCTGCTGTGCTAATTCCACAAGGATTTGCTGCACTGGACATGACTTCATTAATAATATCATCAACCTGATTATGAATCATTTGAATAAACTTCTCCGCCGCCACAATCCACTTACCCAAATCAGCATGAACTGCAGTCAACTTCTCTTTCACATCATCAATTGGCTTCCCAATCTGCCTTTCGAAGGCATCATTTATGTCCGATCCCAACTGGTTTGTGCGGTACTTCACTTTATCATTCACCGTTTTCTCTAGCAACTTTGCCCGCTCTTCGCTAAACACTAGCAGCTGCTTCAGCTCAGTGTTCTGTGCCGCAGCCGCGAACTCCTTGACCTGCAAATTTATATAATCAAATAAAACCTTCAACTTATCTTTTAATGTCGGATCCAGATCCATATAATAGGTTTCTGTCAACTTGAAGACATCATGAAGATGTTTGGCTTCATCGAAGCACGTCTGCAACAGTGCAGGTACATTACGAAGTGAATCGCCATATACATCATTAAGCTTCTTAAGTGATTTATTAATATAGTCGAAGTTGTTATCTTTTAAGTGATCTAAAGTGGTTGTAAATGTGCTAGTGTGTTTCTTCACCTTCTCCTCCCACTCCCGCAGCGCACCTGCAACAGTATGAATTACATTAGTGAACTTACCTTTTTGATGCATAGATGTCTTGATTTCTTGAAGAACCTTGTCCATTTTATCAGTAGAAAAATAATGCTTAACGCTCTCATCATCTTTCACACTTTCAAGAACTCCATGAAGGAAAGACATCACCCCGTCGCACAGCCTGTCAAGGTCCGAGTACACGATGCCAGTGCCAGTGTAATTACCATTACTGTGGCCGAGAAATTTTTCGAGGCCTGTGCAGAGGTTATTTAATAATGTTGTTGCAGGATTATCAAGTTGCTGAGCAATTTTTTCTTGTTTCTTCTGAAGGTCATTTATTTTTTCATGTTCAGGACAGTGACAAGACTGTGGATCCTTAAGACTTTCCGTACGATTTTTCGAAAGTTCTTGACACTCTTCACACTTTTTAATCTGTTCTTTAACACAGGTAATTGCAGCACTAATAGCCTCCGTAACTTCTTTCCCACCGCCAATAAGACCCGAAAGCTGTCCAGCAAGCTGACCAAGAGAGATACGACGGGCATCAATATCATCCAAGGCTTTTTCCCTTGCATCCTGAGTAAGGTAATGAACTTCATTGTAATGGTCATTGTAGGTGGATTAAAGGTGGATTAAGGGAGAGTTAAAAGAAGTAAAGAGGGTATTATTAAGGACATTTTCAGGGCGATTTGGGGGATTTTGAGAAAGGCGATTTTAGGTCAAGGAGGCAGCGAGGGAGTGAGGGAGGTGAGTGAAGGAGGCGAGGGAGGTGAAGGGGCGAGAGAGGGCGATGGAGGAGGAAGATGGGTGGAGGTGAGGCGGTTTCGGAGGTGGAGGGGAAAAGTGGAGAATGAGGATTTGGGTGAAGGACGCCGACGGAGGAGGTGAGGGAGGGGTGAAGGCAGGGAGCGAAGCGACCAGTGAAGGAGGTGGGTGAGTGGGTGAGTGAGTGAGTGGGTGAGTGAGTGAGTGGTTGAGTGGGTGAGTGGTTGAGTGAGTGAGTGGGTGAGTGGGTGAGTGGGTGGTTGAGTGGTTGAGTGGGTGATACACAGATCACACGTGAAGGCACGATTACGGTGAGAAGTACTTGACGTTGGCGAGTGCCCTGACGCGTGCGGCGGCGAGGAGCGACTGCGCGGCGATGCGGTGGCTTGAGGGCGATCTCAGGTGGGAGCGGATCCTCAGGACGTCGAGGCGGACGACGGTGATGTGCAGCAGGTAGAGCAGCGACAGCGACCAGAGGGCTAACAACGTTAGCATAAACGGCCATCTGATTTCTTTCAGGAAATTGTCGCACTCTTCAAACAGATCCTTGAAATATTCTGAATCAAGGATATTCCGTAGTTGGGTACAGAAATCTGAACACTGCTTTGGTGATTTTTCATCATTCAACGTTAATGCGTCGCCGAATGTGAAACCACATTGGTATAGTGTTGAGGAGACACCTTTGCATTGTACCATGGAACCGCATTGACAATGAGGTTGTTTACTCTCTTCATCGCTGAGGCCATGCTGTCCACGCTTACATTTACCATGCAAGCACGTACGACATCCCCAGTCTTGGCAGAAGATTTCCTTGAAAGCATTGTATAGACATTCGAGGTAATTCCAAAATGTCCAAGGCAGGTAAACGGCCCACGATAAGTATGCGTCCGAATGCGTGGTGGCCAGGTTACTGTATTGATCGGTGCATAACGTATATAGGTAAGGAGCGCAGTGAACATCGGCAACGTTACACGGCGTTGCTATGGTCAGACTTGACAAGTCAGCATATTGAGTAAGATGATTTTTATCTGGATGAGTGTTGTGTTTACTATTAAAAATATCACGAAGTGCGTTGGTGAATTTGGAGGGATTCTCATATAGGCTAATGGAGCGGTCGTTGATTGATTTCTCCAAGGAATCCTTTATGGAATGACGAGCATTATGCCAGTCATTAGCAAGCGACAAGGCGAAACCGAAATGCTCCGGTAAGGTGGAGGGCGGTTTGGCAACGAGACAGAGTACGGATCTAAGTTCAGCATCATCAAAGAATGTGGATAGGATTTTACATATATCTCTACCTGTCCTTGTGGAGCCAGAGAAACTTCTGAACCCGAGAGGCGTGAGACAAGGCATACCTTTCACAGCCTTTGGACACGTTAAGCATACAGACGCACATCCTACACTGCTTAATTGATGCGGCAGATGCCCTGGTAGACAGTCATTTAAGTATGACATCAACGGTGAAGTTGGCTGGCAGTTTGGTTCATCGGTTGGTCGGCGCGTTGCCTGGCAATTTGGTTCGCACCTAGGTTGGCAATTTGCTTTACCGCTTACATAATCGCTACACTGCGATTTGGTCGTAGGTATATTTTTACCGTACTTGCACTCGCGCCAACCGGAGTGCTTTGTCTTTATTTGACACCGAGTTTGCAAATATCTAAGTGGCGGGAATAATTTACGTAATATATCAAGCAATGTATGCAAACATTCTTCTCCTGAATTAGGATATTTCAAATTAAGTTTATTGTTGGCGAAGTCAGAGGCATACATTGTATCCTCGTCACCATGCCCGAGTACAGTGGTGAGGATGTTACGTGAGTTTCTGGATAATTCAGGCAATCCATGCTTTGCTAGCTTGCCCATTACGCCTCTCAAATAAATGTCTTTCTTATTATCAGTTTCGTTTGTTTTACCTTCCGATCGTTCCTTTTCTTCCTTCTCTTGTTGTTTCTTAAGGAACGCTTGATAATGCAACTTCATTTTGTTGTAAGCACCGTTGTACTGCAGACCGTAGCACCACGCAAGCATTTCGTAGACGGAACATGGTGACCTCTTCGCGGAGAAAGTGCCTAGGTGACACACTTCGTTAAACGTGGTGACGTGGCTAGTGAGACACTTAAGTATGTCGAATAGGTTAATGTTGTTTTCTTTTGATATACATATTTTAAGGTGTGAAGTGATTTTGTCGACACCCTTAATTGGCGTCTCAAGTAGCGTATCATGAATGTATTGACCTTTCCGATCATCATGGTTCCGCAGCTCACCATTCTGCTTATCTCGCTTGGATACAACGTACCCATACGACTCGAATAATTCTCCCAGACCGGTCGACAAATCAATTTTACTTTTAGGCGACGGATGGTCACATCGTTGTTTCAAGGTTGTCAAATCGTCTTGCAGAGTGTTTAAAAGGGTGAGAAAGGCCTTGGCGCAATTCTTTCCATCAGCCTCCCGCGAAAAGTCAACTTTATACGGATGACCCTCGTACGTATTCACGTACGCTTTGCCAATCTCCCCGAGGAAATCCTGAAGACCGGATTTTAGGACATCTAGTAGGGGACTGTCGTGCTCGGCGAACTTTGTAGGACGCATGGTGTCGAGGAAGTTTGTGAATAGATCACATCTACTTGAAGCCTTGTGACCTAATTTGCCTTCGTGCATCACGGTAAAAAGTCCCAGAGTATGCACATTAAGGTCCTCGAAGAACTTCTCAATGGGATTCTTGGCGGACGGGGAGGGAGATGGCTGGCTGGTGGGAGGGGATGGATTTGGAGACTGAGACGTATTGCCCATTCCAGCACGCCCTGGTGGGTTTGCGATTTCGGAGATTTCTTTCATTGTAGCCGTTGCCGGCCGCGCTCTGTAACCGCCGCCGGAGATTGGGGGTGGGACGGGAGTGGCAGTGGTTGGGGGCTTAGTGTCTGGAAGGAGTTGGTATTTGGTATACTCGTAGATTGGAGTAAAATATGTTTGGAATGCCTGCGAGAATTGCTTTACATCGGGGTATCTAAACGGATCAATATATGTTTCAAGGTGACCGCTCAGGGTATTCAAAAAGCCTTTGAGGCCGTTGGTCGTATCACTGAAAATGATGTTTGCGATCTTTTTGGCTTGGCGTTCGACCAGTTTGTGCAGCGCGGAGAGGTCGGCGAGTTTTTGGTTGGTGAAGAGGGAGCGGACATCGTTGATTACGCATTGGAAAGCGCCTCTGGTGGCGTCCATAAGATTTTCTTTGAGTGCGTTGATTGAGTCTTTCAGTGTATTACGGGCTGCTTCAAGGGATTGGAAAAGGGCATTCATGGCATCTATCAATGCTCTGTCGGCCTTATCAACTTCTCCATCGATGTAGTTTATGTTACCTTTGAGCAAATACAATTCACCGTTTAACTTCTCCATGAGCCTCTTCACTTCTCCTCTCTTTTCTTCAACATCTCCGGGCAGCCCCTCAAGCTCTGTTATTACCGATAGGACGCCTTCCATTGTTTTGTGAATTTTACTGGTGTCACTAGTGATCTGTTCTTTTTGCAGTTTGGTAATCTTGTAATTAAGTTGACCAATACTGTCATCACCATCTTGTCGGTCGCCACTGCCGATCGTTGTTTCCAGCGCCTTCAACTTGTCAAGGATTCCAGTTCCCTTTGGATTGGGAACTGCGCCATTCTGCAACTCACCTTGAAGTGTTGTGAGTCGCGCCTTAATTGCTTGGACGGCTGAGTGGATTGTGCCTGTGTGGGTGGGAAGCTTACCATTTTCACGTTGAAGTACGTCCTGCATTCTTGCGAGGCCCTTTACGTTTAATTCGGCCATGGGAAATGAATATTTGGCTTTAAGTTCTACATCACCATTTTTATTATGAGTAATAATACTTGTCATATCTTCCAACACACGTTTAATTGTATTTTTGTCATCTCTCTTATTCTCCACCATTTCGGAAACTTCACCAAGGCGCCGTCTCATACCTGCTACGGCAGTGCCGATTTCGTTACCGTGTTGAGTAACATTGTTAACATCAGGCACCGTAATTGTGTCGGTTGCGTTGCCAAGTACTTGAACTGTTTTCTCCCGCTGTATTGCGCCGTCAAGAGATTGGACACCATCGTTAAAGGCGGTAATGAGTGGACCATTCAGGTCGACCTTTTCGAGCCACGGCTTTATGACCTTATCAACGTTGATATCCTCAATCTTAATGTGTTTGTCAGCCGCAAAACTGCCAGCATTAAGGCATATATTTGCATCGCCATTTAGCTTTTGGATTTCTTGCCGAAGCTTCATAACGTTCTGATGTTTTTTCAAGTCCTCTTTAAGCTGTTGTAGAGCCTTTGTAACATTACTGTTTAGACGGCTCTTAACATCATCCTTAATAAGCTTTAGCCTGTCACTCGCTGCCTTGGATTCTCTAACAACCTTTTCAAGCCTTTCCTTCGTCGCCTCATAAAACTGATAAAGCTCTCCAGCCTTTACACTAATCTCAGTAAGCTTTTTATTAAACTCATTATTAACCTCATTACATTTCAGGTCTTTAATCACGGAATCACACATCGCTTTTGCAGCGTCAACAACCATCAAAGCCGCATCCTTCCAATTCAGCAACTCCGTTATACTTCGTCCCAACGTATCATTAAGATTTTCAATTGCACTCTGAGCTTTGTCAATTCCATCAAGCTTCCCACGAATAGACTCCTTGTCACCAGCCTCCTTCATCAGTTCATTATAAACACCCTGCGCCTTTTTCACCGCCTCCCCCTTAATCCACTCTGCCTCTCGGGTCCTACGTTCCAAATTGGATACATGTTGGTCAAGTTGCGTACCAACAGCCAAGAGTTCTGTTTTAATTTGGTTGACTTGCTTTTTTAGCATCGATTCATTTTCATCGCCTCCAACATGCCTATTTGTAGCATTTATTTGGGCCATTTTAAGCTTTAACTCATCAAACATCCCTAATATTTTATTTTTATACTCCTCATCAAAGCTTTTATAATATTTTTCAACATTCTTTTTTGCGTCTTGGATGGCCTTTCTTACGAAACTGATGTTATCATTTTTTGCTTTATACATGGTATCAACGTCCCTGAATAATTGCCAAAACGCCTTTTCCAACCGCGCTTGCAGCGCAGAACATTCATCTGTGATGTTACTAATAACCCGGTCTCTCTGCGCTATTAAATCCATGTCCACAGCTTTCACCTGCGCCACAAACCCCTTTTCCACCGTAGCTTCCTGCAGCATTCTGACAGCGGCCTTAATCGGCCTTGTTTCGTTTTTAATCTTATCACGTAATGTACTATCTAACATATTAACATTAGTGGTTATGTCATTATTAAAGTGCGTGTCTATGTCGTGGAGTGTCTCCTTCCACTTCCTCAGCTGCTCCTGCAGCTCCAGTCCCGATCGTCCCGCAACTTCCTTGTAGTAATCACCTGAAACAGATTGAGATTGAACACTCAACTTACCTATAAGCGTAGATAATCCTCCAGTCACTGCTTTTGTCTTCTTGCCAACTTCCTCATTATATTTCCCCAACCACTCCCTCACCTTGGTGACAGAGGCCGAAAGGCCAACACGCCCGGAGCCAATTGAAGATTGGAGATGTTGAAGGACAGTATGTAAATCATCTTGACTATTTAATTTAATGTAATTATTGTATGTTATAACGTTATCATCATCCTTCACTCCACTAAGAACACCATGAAGGAAAGACATCACCCCGTCGCAGAGCCTGTCGAGGTCCGAGTACACAATTCCCTCTCCGGTGTAATTACCATTCTCGTAGCCGAGAAAATTTTCGAGGCCTGTGCAGAGGTTATTTAATAATGTTGTTGTAGGATTATTTTAGGCACATTTTAGGGCGATTTGGGGGAATTTGGGGAAAGGCGATTTTAGGTCAAGGAGGCAGCGAGGCAGCGAGGGAGGTGGGTGGACGGGGTGAGGGGAGTGAAGGGCGAAAGAGAGCGATGAGGGAGGAAGAGGGGTGGAGGTAAGGGGATTTAGGAGGTGGAGGGGAAAGGTGGAAAATGAGGGTTTGGGTGAAGGACGCCGACGGAGGAGGTGATGGAGAGGGAGCGAAGCGACCAGTGAAAGGGAGGTGAGTGAGTGGTTGAGTGGTTGAGTGGTTGAGTGGGTGAGTGGTGGTTGAGTGGGTGGTTGAGTGAGTGGTTGAGTGAGTGGTTAGGTGGTTGAGTGGTTAGGTGGTTGAGTGGTTGAGTGAGTGGTTAGGTGGTTGAGTGGTTGAGTGGGTGGGTGATTAGGTGAGTGAGTATGTGGGTGAGTGGTTGAGTGGTTGAGTGGGTGAGTGGTTGAGTGGTTAGGTGGTTGAGTGGTTGAGTGAGTGGTTAGGTGGTTGAGTGGTTAGGTGGTTGAGTGGTTGAGTGAGTGGTTAGGTGGTTGAGTGGTTAGGTGGTTGAGTGAGTGGGTGAGTATGTGAGTGAGTGGGTGAGTATGTGAGTGAGTGGGTGAGTGGTTGAGTGATTGAGTGAGTGAGTGTGTGAGTGGGTGGGTGGTTGAGTGGGTGGGTGATTAGGTGAGTGGTTGAGTGATTGAGTGAGTGAGTGTGTGAGTGGGTGGGTGGTTGAGTGGGTGGGTGATTAGGTGAGTGGTTGAGTGGTTGAGTGAGTGGTTGAGTGGTTGAGTGAGTGGTTGAGTGGTTGAGTGGTTGAGTGAGTGGGTGGTTGAGTGGGTGGTTGAGTGGGTGAGTATGTGAGTGAGTGGGTGGTTGAGTGGGTGAGTGAGTGGGTGGGTGAGTGGTTGAGTGGGTGAGTGGGTAATTATGTGGGTGGATGAGTGAGTGAGTTGGTGAGTGAGTGAGTGGTTGAGTGGGTGGTTGAGTGGTTGAGTGGGTGGTTGAGTGAGTGGGTGGTTGAGTGGTTGAGTGGGTGGGTGAGTTGGTGAGTGGTTGAGTGGTTGAGTGGGTGGTTGAGTGGTTGAGTGGTTGAGTGTTGAGTGGGTGAGTGAGTGGTTGAGTGGGTGAGTGAGTGAGTGGTTGAGTGAGTGAGTGGTTGAGTGAGTGAGTGGGTGATACACAGATCACACGTGAAGGCACGATTATGGTGAGAAGTACTTGACGTTGGCGAGTGCCTTGACGCGTGCGGCGGCGAGTAGGGACTGCGCGGCGATGCGGTGGCTTGAGGGTGCTCTCAGGTGGGAGCGTATCCTCAGCACGTCGAGGCGGACGACGGCGATGTGCAGCAGGTACAGGAGCGACAGCGACCAGAGGGCTAATAGTGTATTCATGAACGGTGATCTGATAATGTACAGGAAATTGTCGCACTCTTTAAACAGCTTATCAAAATATGTTGATTTAAGTACATTTTGTAACTGCGTACAGAAGTCGGAGCATTTCTTTGGTTTGCCATTAGCGTTCAGCATTGATGGATTACCAAACATGAAACCATATATATACAAGGTTGGCATCACGCCTCTGCACTGAACCATGCTGTTACATTGGCAATGTGGCGCCTTTGTTTTTTCGTCGACAAGTCCATGTTGTCCTCGTCTACATTTATTACCGTTAAGGCATTTGCTACATCCCCAGTCCTGGCACAATAGTGCTTTGAGGGCGTCAAGCAGACATTCAAGGTATTTATGTAATGTCCATGGAAGATAAATAATCCAGGAGAGGTAGAGGTTGGAGTGCATTATTGCAAGATTGCTGTATGAATCGGAGCACAACGTATATACATAAGGGGCACAGTTTGCGTCTTGGCCGGAACACGGCGTAGTCATTGCAAGGCTTGACAATTTAGCAAGTCCGGTTAAATGGTCCATATCTTGATGATCATCCATACTGGTACCATAAGCTTTTTGAAGTGCATCAGTAAGGTCAGATGTATTTTTATATAAATCGATGGACTGTTCGGACATAGATGTATTGAACATGTTTGCAAGTGTCTTATTTTCATCACGTTTCGGCGCTAATGGCAACTTAATGCCACTAACCAACGACCTAACAAATGCGAAATGTTCGGGTAAGTTACTCGGCGGTTTGGCCGCAACGTAGAACAAGGCTGTGAGGTAGTCATTACCCAGGAATTTGCCCAGCACGTTACACAGCTCTTTACCTCTACGCGTACTACTAGAGAAACCTCTAAAGCCCATTGGAGTTATACACGGCATTCCAGGCATAGATTTGGGGCAAGTGTTACAGACTGTTTTGCAACCAATCGAGGTTACATCGTGAGGCAAGTGGCCGATTAGAGAATCGGTTAAGTAGCACTGAAGTGGCGACGTTGGTTGGCAGTTTGGTTGGTCATTTGGTTGGCTATTTGGTTCGCACTTAGGTTGGCACTTTGATTTGTCTGCTGAGTGAACGTTACATGGCCACTTGGTCGTAGGGATATTCTTGCCATATTGGCAGCCGGCCCAACCATGGTGCCTGGAACCGAGACCACATAGACCATACATAAACCTGAAAACGGGGAATAATCTGCGGAATATGTCAACCAGTGTACGTAAACAATCCGCACCGCTGGTTGGATATCCGAGGCGTAGAGAATTGTTATAGTAATCGCTGGCGTAGTATGTGGATGCGTCCCCTGTGCCGAGGATCGCAGTAAGGAGATTATGTGACCAATTACCTAAACTAGGCAAACCATAATGCGCGGCATCTGAGACACGCTGTTTTAAATCACTGTCTTTCTTCGTGTCGTACTCGCTACAGTACGTGGTGAGCTTGTCATAGACAGCGTTGTATTCAAGACCGGAACACCAAACAAGCATCTCATACACAGAGCATGGATTTCTAGGTGAGGATACAATTGTGATATGACCGACACGGAAATATTGATTAAGGTGAGTTGTGAGACATACAAGGATGTCTAAGACGTCAAATGATTTTTTAGGTGATAAACAGTCTGTAATATGTGCAATATTTTTGGCGGCATTCTGAAGTTCTTCTTTCAGCTTCTTGTGAACGTCCAGACCTTTATAATCATTCACCGGTAATTTCAATTCGCCTTCCTTGGAAGCTTGATTTTTGGCTACTTGGTATCCGAGACGCTTGAGGAATGAACCCAGCGATTTTTCGTCATTTTCATCTTCACATATATGTTTTGTTTTCCACTTCCCACCGCAGTCATCTTCCAATTTATGTAAATCGCGACACAGCATTTTAAGGATGGTGAGGAATACTCTAGCGCCCTTTTGGCTTTCCTCAGTCAACTCAGTATTATAGCTGACATGAGTAGTGTACACGGTTGCTGTAGTGCCTTGTTTCCGCCAAGTGATTTCCTCCCCTCCATCATACGTATTCACGTACGCCTTTCCAAGTTGCCCGGCTAACGCCTGCACGCCTTCCTTCACTACGTCCAGCAGGACAGTGCACGGACCGCCAAACTTGGAGGGCGTGAAATGTTGAAGCGCGCTGTTTAAAGCGTCTATGTTTGTTTTGAACGTGTAGTCGAAATGGTTGGAGTTCTTTAGGCCTTCGAGAATTTTGTCTAATTTCTCCTTCACTCTTTCGAGTTTGTCAATTGCATCTGGGGTCTCTGAGGGAGACTGCTTTTTGACATATTCATCCATTTGGTATTTCACGTAGTCGTAGATGAGCGTGAAGTATGCGTGCATTTTTTCCACGAAGGTTTTGAAGTCATTGTGGTTTGGTGCTTTTTTCAGAGCGTCGAATTTATTTGGTTGGCCTTTAACCTTTCGTCTCACTTCGTCTTTCAATTGCTTGAGTAAACCTTTAACGCCGGAGAATTTGTTCACTCGAATGATACGTTCGATTTCAGTTTTTTGGGTTTGGACTAGAGATTGGAGGGATTTCAGGTCGGCAAGCTTTTGCCGGGCGAAGAGTTTTTGGACATGGTACGTGACTTCGTTGAAAGCCTTCTTGACAGCCTTGAAGAGTTTGTCCTTCAGATCGTCGACTACCTGAGTGATATCAGTGCGGGCTTCGTTAAGAGCAGTTTCGACATTTTTAATCTCAGTGTTTAATGCCTCACTTGCTTTTTTAACGGTTGTCTCAACAATCCAAATTTCTCCTTGGAGTTTCTGAATTTCTCTGTCCAACTCTTCCATCTTTGTTTGCACTTGCTGCCTGTTGTCCTTAACTAAGCCTGGAAGAGATTCAAGGTGATCTATTGTAGATTTGATTTTGGCGACGGTTACATCATACTGCCTCTCTGCTTCTTGATAACCGGCTACCGCACTGATTTTTATGTGATCATCTTTACCGAAATCACTATTAAACATTTTTTGAACACCTTTGATCGCCTCGCATATTTCATTCTTTTCGTCCACTTGAAATGTCTTCAACCCGTTTATTTCTGACGCACCTGTAATTGCATTGAGCCTAGTGTCCAGTTCCATTTTAAGCTTACCTTTATCGGACTTCAATATTCCATCTATCTCGTCGATCCTTGCCTTCACACTATCCAAGGCTTGGGTAATCAGTTTGCCTAAACTGTCTTTACCGTCCGGCTTTTTGCCTTCCATTTCATGTTTGATTTCGTTAATATCTTGAAGGGCTAGTGCGACATTTGAAATATTGGTTTTTACAAACGATTTGACTTCCTCGGCAGCCTGCCTTGCCATGCCAAGCAGTTGGTGGAGAATGAGTTGGGCGGCCTTGTTACGGTTGGCATTGTAAGTGTCGTGGGGGATTCCCTTCGCGATCATCATCGCGCTCTCAACCTTACCAACAATCCCATGAAAACCGTCTTTAATCTGAGTGGCAAAACCTTTGAGACACTTATAGATGGCAGCCAGATTTTTATAAACATCGTTTTCCTCCTCCCCGGTGAACGCATTGGTAGCAATATTAATCTCATTCTGCAGCTGATGAATGAGCTCCCCGATAATTTGATCATCTTGATCAGAAACATAATGCGTGAGTCGCGCCTTGATGGTCGCATCTTTTACAATCACAGTCAGCCACACCTTTAAAACTTTATCTCCGAAATTTCTCTGAGTGAATGCGTCAGCATAGTTTTTCACGCCTTTTATGATCCCGCCAAGCAAACCTAACACCCCGTTGTCCTTATTACCATCAAGCATACTACCAATATGCTTTTTAAATGCTTCCCAGTGTGCGCCTATGTTACCTTCATCGCTCTTATTGCCAACTCCACTTTTAATAACCGAAATGTGTTCCTCCGCGGTTGTGACCAGCTGCATAAACCCCTGATTCGCCTCGGCAACCAAAGTCACGACTTTCTGATACGCCTTGGCGACAGTTAACTGTATCCGCTGTTTTGCTTGAGTAAGAGTTTCATCTGCAGATTTCACGTTCTTTTTCACATCCGCACAAAGAACTTTCAGTTTCAACTTATACGCTTTACTCATCTCCTGAACCGCTTCCTTGACTGCTTCTAATTCCCTCTCAAGATCACATTTATTAGCGTCACCTGTGGCGTCGCTCGGATGTATTGCTTGAATTGAGGTCATATTGCTCTTAATTTTGTCAAACTTCTCAAGAATATGCATCTCATAGTTTACCTTAAATTCATCTAATAGCAACTTGGACTGGACGTACGTTTTTGTGACAGAATTGCTTATGCTCTCAAACTGCTCTTCCTTAGTCTTCTTCAGCTCGCCTAATCTTCTGTCAACAATGTTGAATTTTTGGTTTATGTATCCCACCAGCGTTATACATTTGGCTGCAACCTCCTCATCTAATTTCCTTTTCTCATCCTTAAGTGCCCTGTCAACCTCAGCAACCTGCTCCCCGAACAGACCGTTCTGGGCGGACTCAAGCAACATCGTTACACTACTCTTAATTGTGTCAATCTTATTAGTAATGTTATTTCTAAGTGAGCTATCGAGTACATTAGCATATTGTTCAACTACGTTAACGTGTTGTGAAACGCTATTAACCGTCGTGGTCCATGTCTCCAACTGCTCCTTGAGTGGTCTTGAGTCTTTACCTGAAACAGAAATGAAATGTTTATCACTTAAATCATGTAACAACTTACCTAATTCACTTGTAACAAGAAACCTCGAACCTGCAACATATTGATCATAGTGATTCAACCAGTCACCTACCTGCTTAATCTGAGTGGAGAACACACTGTGTCCCTTACCTACAGCAGTATGTAAATCATTAATAAGCTTACCTAATTTAGGCTCAGTAGACATATTAACATCATAAGTTGTAACGTTATCATCTTTTTTCACAGTCTCAAGAACACCATGAAGGAAAGACATCACCCCGTCGCAGAGCCTGTCGAGGTCCGAGTACACGATGCCAGTGCCGTCGTAGCCTTTGGAAGTTTCTTGGTAACCAAGGAACTTCTCCAGGCCAGAGCACAGGTTAGTAAGTAAATCATGTGGATTATTTTAGGCACATTTTCAGGGCGATTTGGGGGAATTTGGGGAAAGGCGATTTTAGGTCAAGGAGGCAGCGAGGGAGGTGGGTGGACAGGGTGAGGGAGGTGAAGGGGCAAAGAGGGCGATGAGGGAGGAAGATGGGTTGAAAGGAGGCGATTTTAGGGGTGGAGGGGGAAAGTGGAAAATGAGGATTTGGGTGAAGGACGCCGACGGAGGAGGTGATGGAGGGGGTGAAGGCAGGGAGCGAAGCGACCAGTGAAGGAGGGAGGTGGTTGGGTGGTTGGGTGAGTGGGTGGTTGAGTGGGTGAGTGAGTGGGTGGTTGAGTGAGAGAGTATGTGAGTGGGTGAGTGGGTGGGTGAGTGAGTGAGTATGTGAGTGGGTGGGTGGGTGAGTGAGTGGTTGAGTGGGTGGGTGGGTGGTTGAGTGAGTGGGTGGGTGAGTGGTTGAGTGGGTGGTTGAGTGGGTGAGTGGGTGAGTGGGTGAGTGGTTGAGTGGGTGATCAGGTGAGTGGGTGGTTGAGTGAGTGGGTGGGTGAGTGGGTGTGTGAGTATGTGAGTGAGTGAGAGGGTGGGTGGGTGAGTGAGTATGTGGTTGAGTGGTTGAGTGGTGGAGTGGTGTGAGTGGGTGAGTGTGTGAGTAGTGAGTGAGTGGGTG